ACGCCGAAGGTAAGTGAAAAAAAAAAAACATGCTGATAGGGAGCAGGCCCAGCGCTACAGGGGGTCGGGGGGGGTGCAAAAATGCAACTTCGCCTGTGTGGGCACAAATCCTAGCACCGGCCCTGGGAGGAGGCTGAGGAGCCTCTCACCTACCGCAGCAGAAGTGGATGCTGCGACCCCCTCAACAGTGAGTCGCCACCCACAGTTTGAGAACCGCTGAACTACATGGACCTGTGTTTTCATTCCACCTTCCCAATCATGTAACTGCACTGCCTCTCTTCATATTGTAAGGTGCTGGGCGAGCTGTTGGCTATATAAACCCTGAAGAAGAAGAATAATATAGTTTTGCACCTCTTAGTAAAATAAACTTACCGCGCAATAAGGAAGAAACGAGCGCAATGCAGAGAAAAGGGCGACACGTTCCGTGAGCCATCAGAACCCGGAACAAGCGGAATACTGGAATCCTGAGGAGAACATTGAGGGACATCAGGACAGAGACATGAGGAGCCGCGTCCTCTCCTCATACACGACTGAAGGGGACACGCCTCGTGCCTCAGACCTCTTACAGGTGTCACAGACACGAATAGACAAAGTCATGTGGTCCTGACACTGACACCTCCCAAAAATACTCCCAATTGTCTACACCCGGCGTCTCGGTGAATGATTGTGAATGAGAGGGATCAGGACTGTGTGCACAAACCTCGGCCCGTCTGAGGTCAGCGTTATGGTGGATGTCACCGGTCACATGGTTTGTTTGTCTCACAATGATAAGTGTATTTAAAGTATTTGTTTGTAGAGGTTCATTGACCCGACCACAAGGAGGAGAGAGGGACAGTCCCTTCAAATGATGGACAGACAGGAGCCATGCCATTCAACAGCATGACAGCCATGGGCAACTCTAATGTCCCCTCCCCCACAGTCACATCAGTCTCTGTACAGAGGAGCTTACACTCTAATGTCCCCCCTCAGTCACATCAGTCTCTGTACAGAGAAGCTTACACTCTAATGTCCCCTCCCCCACAGTCACATCGGTCTCTGTACAGAGGAGCTTACACTCTAATGCAGAATGGCACAGGTTGCAGGGGGACTACAAATCCCAGCAATACATTTTACAGCAATGCAGAACAGTAAATTAATTGAACTCAGGACTTAGTAACGCACTGGGCTCAGGACCCACCTGAGATCCTGGAGAGCCCACCTGAGAGTGACCTTGCAGAGCACACAATAGATGCTGCACAGTCCATCTGAGACTCTCTATAGTGGGCTCTGCGGGGTCTCAGATGGGCTGGTCAGGGTCCCTTTCCCTACAAACGCAGCTCCTTACCTGGTGCTACTAAGTTCCTGTACCAGTGCTGCTGGGCCCCCGACCTCCTCCACCTCCTCCCCTCTCAGTGTTGCTGGGGGGGGCCTAGGCCCCCCGAGCGGCCCGGGCCCCTTAAATGGGTGTCAGCGGTACCCCCTGATGGTAATCCTGGCCATGTGACCAGCATTTTCAGGAGCAAAGGTCTGTAATGACAGCTTCCATTGTCTATAGGTGTCAATCAACATATTCCAATATTTGTATATTCTCCACGTATGACCATCGCATACACTGATGTGAAAAAGTAAGTACACCCCATGGCAATTGTTGACTTTTTTCGACTTATTTACCACATTTACCACCACTTCAAATCGAGGTTTTCCAGAATAGTTGCCAATGATCAGAACCTCTTTAGGGAACCCGTCTTATTCAGACTTTGGATATATTGGGTCTGGTGCTCTATGTGCTATTGACGTGTATGATGTTATCATGCCGAGATCAACAGAGCTTTCCAAGGCCCTCAGGAAGAAGGTTGGGGCCCCCAATCAGTCTGCAAATGGATTTAAAAAGGTCACCAATATGATTTTGATTGGTGTAGATTTTAAACAGCTGATAGTTCATCCGGGTCTGACCAGCCCAGCAAATGTAACCCTTGACCGTCTGATGCTAAAAGAAGTCTCCAAGAACCCCAACATTTCATTGGCTGTCCCGGCGACTTTTGCAACAGTTGGAGTGACAGTCCATTCATCTACGATCAGAAAGAGATTGCACCACTGAACCTGCATGAGGGGTGTCAAGAAAAAGCCTCTGCTGCCCAAAAACAGCATTAAACATACACTGAGTGGCCGGATTATTATGACCCCCCCCCCATCAGTACTTGGTTGGGCCGCCTGGTGACTCAAAAGACCAGATCTTCTGGAAGTTTATGCTGAAGATTGATCGATCACATATAGAGTTGTTGGTCACTGTGACAGTAGACATTGTTTGCCTCAGCTTACCCTACCGGGAGAGCAGCGGCGAGTCAGCGCTGGTCCGGTGGGAGGAGCTCCAGGTGGGGGTCCTAATTTAGCTGGCCGGCGACTGCCTGAGAATCCCGACACGCGCAGCACCTCTGGCAGTCGCCGGCCAGCTAAATTAGGACCCCCACCTGGAGCTCCTCCCACCGGACCAGCGCTGACTCGCCGCTGCTCTCCCACATCGAAGGTAAGTGAAGAAAGAAAAAACAATAGCGCAAACACTTTGGGGCATTTTGACAAGTACTTGTCAAAATGCCCTGTTTTTTCCGCCCTCACCCTGCAGCGCCCTCAGGCGGCCGCTTGCCTTGCGGTAGCGCCGGGCCTGCTGTGAAGCATGGTGGTAGAGATGTTGCAGTTCGGGGACGCTCTGCTTTATGTCAAAGCATGCTCAATGAATGGGCAAGGAAGGACACCTGTCCAAAAGTTGACTGGAAATTAGGTTTTCAGCACAATAATGACGCCGGGCACATTAGCAGATCCACCAAGGAATGTCTCAAAAAGAGGAAATAGAAGGTCAAGGGCGGCCCTCGTCGGAGCCCTGAAGTGATACCCATTGAAAACTTGTAGGGGGATTTTGAAAAGGGCATTTCATTCAAAAAACCTACAAACGTCGCTCAATGGGAGGAATTTGACATGTTCAATGTTAATGAGAGAGGCCGTCAGGCAGCTATACACAATGCCTACAAGACATCATTTCTGCTGCAGGGGCAATACCAGCCTTTGACGCCATGGGGTGTACTTACTTTTGCTATTTTGTGATATAAATAACTAAAAAGGCAATTTGTCTGCGTGTTCTTTATCACATTTCCTGTGCCTAGGCACTCCTGATATCAGACCACTTCCTGTGCCCAGGCACTCCTGATATCAGAGCACTTCCTGTGCCTACGTGCTCCTGATATCAGTGCACTTCCTGTGCCCAGGCACTCCTGATATCAGAGCACTTCCTGTGCCCAGGCACTCCTGATATCAGACCACTTCCTGTGCCTAGGCACTCCTGATATCAGAGCACTTCCTGTGCCTAGGCGCTCCTGATATCAGAGCACTTCCTGTGACTAGGCACTCCTGATATCAGTGCACTTCCTGTGCCCAGGCATTCCTGATATCAGAGCACTTCCTGTGCCTAGGCACTCCTGACATCAGAGCACTTCCTGTGCCTATGCGCTCCTGATATTAGTGCACTCCCTGTGCCTAGGCACTCCTAATATCAGAGCACTTCCTGTACCTACGCGCTCCTGTTCTGTATCCTCATAGCTGTATATTTGCAGTATGAAATCATCTGACTGCTGGACTCACCAGATTTGGGGTGAGATTTGGTGATGTCACTGCTGTGCCGCTCAGTGTTCTCCTTGCTGGAGAGGAAGCCGTACATGAGGACCTGCAGTGCAAGGATCTCCCTGCTTCTCCTTCCTCCATTCTGTGGATCTGTGCTTCCTCCACCTCTTTAGTCATCAGGAGGGAAGCTCTAACATGAGGAAGCAAAGCCCCGCCTCTACCAAGATGGCCGCCTCCATACAGAGACACAGTGCAGAATGAGGTCGGTATGTCAGTAATGTGGAAAGATCAGCTGCAGGAAGACCACGGGAAATACCGATGAGCAGTTCTCTGCCCTCTGCTTGGCTTTTTGGGGGCTTCCAGAGTTCAGTTTCTCTTTAAGTTAGACACAAACCCAATCACTAAAACCTGACGGGAGCTGCAACATGTTAATGTCATTTCAAAAGTTGTTTTTAATATAATATAATAAAATAATCCCTGGGGATCCTGCCATGAATGGTCCTTGTTCAGGCACTTCCTGTCCCCATATGATGAATTAACCACTTGAGGATTTTGAATGCACAGTAAGCGACTGATCGTAAAAACCTTTGTCCCTATTGCCGGTTTTCTGTCGAAATCTTCGACCTGTCCAGATCACCGACTGGTGGTATCACATCCGGCGACTCGCCAGTAGCAGATATAGACCAGATGGTGCCAGTGCGCGTGCTCCAGCTGTGCCGCTGCCATCGAGTTAGCGAGCTCCTGTCACTGCGCCTGCACGGCTTCACAATCCCCATCAAGTTCTCCGACTCCCCCCCCCCCCATCAGTGCGCCTGCCCATCCGATGGCAAAACATGTCATCTCTTAGCATGTTGTGCCATCGCATGGGCACGCGGGCGCACTAACGTTATGTGGAGGAGTTGATTCTGCTGGTAATTGAGCGCTGCCGGGGGTCGGAGAACTTGATGGGGATTGTGAAGCCGCGCAGGCGCAGTGACAGGAGTTCTATAACTCGATGAGGATTCTGATAGCGGCACGGCTGGCGCCCGCGCACCACCGCCCTCTGGTCTAATTCTCCTACTGGCGACTCACCGGACGTGACATCACCGGTCGGAGATCTGGACGAGTTGGAGCTTTCGACAGAACACCGGCAATTGCTGGCTGTCAACATGTATCCACTTGTAGCTGCAGGTAATCTGCATCTGTCACTAAGTGAATACAATGTAACGATATTATGTTTCATTGTCTTTATATCTCATTCTCATGTACATGGAAGGTGAGACCTTCATTCTACATATGACATCAGTCAGAGAAACAGGAGGGGGGAGGTGTCTATGGGCTGTGTTACAAATAACAGACAGTCCCTGCAATGAGGGACATTTGGGTCCTATGAATCATCATCATTGCCTTTTGTACAACCCGCCTGCATAGCCCGGCGACATGAACCCTACGAATCGTCCTTCTAGAGCTTTGCGCAGAATACGTCTCTGACTCTCCCAACAGAACGTCTTGTGTCTGTGAGTGGCGCGGATGTTGTGATGGCCGCACTCTGATCACACTCCACTGACGGTGCAGACGTTGGGTGAGTGACGTCACCAGACCAGTACAATGGGCCCCGGGGCCCCCGTCACTGACACTCAATGGAGGGATCAGCAGCTTATAGGAGAGGAGCCGGGATGGAACGAGACGACTTTATCACCATTCAGAATCTCTGAACTGGAAATCCCAAAACACAACCCATCCCCCGCCCCTCCCCCCGGCACCTAATCCAATAATACCCGGACACAGCTGCAGAGCCATCATACACTCCTTAACCTTTTCATGTCCAGGGACACGGGGCCCTCTGACCATCTCCTGAAGTATGTCTGAGGTCTCTGACCATCTCCTGTAGTATGTCTGCAGTCTCTGACTCTCTCCTGTAGTATGTCTGCAGTCTCTGACTCTCTCCTGTAGTATGTCTGCAGTCTCTGACTCTCTCCTGTAGTATGTCTGCAGTCTCTGACTCTCTCCTGTAGTATGTCTGCAGTCTCTGACTCTCTCCTGTAGTATGTCTGCAGTCTCTGACTCTCTCCTGTAGTATGTCTGCAGTCTCTGACTCTCTCCTGTAGTATGTCTGCAGTCTCTGACTCTCTCCTGTAGTATGTCTGCAGTCTCTGACTCTCTCCTGTAGTATGTCTGCAGTCTCTGACTCTCTCCTGTAGTATGTCTGCAGTCTCTGACTCTCTCCTGTAGTATGTCTGCAGTCTCTGACTCTCTCCTGTAGTATGTCTGCAGTCTCTGACTCTCTCCTGTAGTATGTCTGCAGTCTCTGACTCTCTCCTGTAGTATGTCTGCAGTCTCTGACTCTCTCCTGTAGTATGTCTGCAGTCTCTGACTCTCTCCTGTAGTATGTCTGCAGTCTCTGACTCTCTCCTGTAGTATGTCTGCAGTCTCTGACTCTCTCCTGTAGTATGTCTGCAGTCTCTGACTCTCTCCTGTAGTATGTCTGCAGTCTCTGACTCTCTCCTGTAGTATGTCTGCAGTCTCTGACTCTCTCCTGTAGTATGTCTGCAGTCTCTGACTCTCTCCTGTAGTATGTCTGCAGTCTCTGACTCTCTCCTGTAGTATGTCTGCAGTCTCTGACCATCTCCTGTAGTATGCCTGCAGTCTCTGACCATCTCCTGTGGTATGTCTGCAGTCTCTGACCATCTTCTGTACTATGTCTCCAGTCTTTGACCATCTCCTGTACTATGTCTGCCGTCTCTGACCATCTCCTGTACTATGTCTGCCGTCTCTGACCATCTCCTGTACCATGTCTGCAGTCTCTGACCATCTCCTGTACTATGTCTGCAGTCTCTGACCATCTCTCCTGTAGTATGCCTGCAGTCTCTGACCATCTCCTGTAGTATGTCTGCAGTCTCTGACCATCTCCTGTACTATGTCTGCAGTCTCTGACCATCTCCTGTACTATGTCTGCAGTCTCTGACCATCTCCTGTACTATGTCTTCACTCTCTGACCATCTCATGTACTATGTCTTCACTCTCTGATCATCTCCTGTATCACGTCTGCAGTCTCTGACCATCTCCTGTAGTATGATTTAGGTTTCCTCCTCCGATGTTCGGCTCTCTGTCACTGTCAGTAAGGATGGGCTGCATGTTCGAGTCGACCATAGGTTCGACTCGAACATTGCATGTTCTAGCGTTCGCCGAACGCCGAACATTATGGGATGTCCGCGGTCTGTTCGACCCCGGCACATCCCACAATGCACTGCGCCGTCTGAAAACGGTAATTGGCTACAGTCCTGCACCTGACCGGAGGTCAGGTGCAAGACTGTGCCAATCAGGGCTCAGTACAAATGTAGAGCTAGATTGGGCAGAGTCACGATGACTCTGCCCAATCATGTCTCACAGCTAAGTCCCTGCAGCACACTATATAAGGCTTCAAAATGGGAACATGTAATTTTCTGTGTTCTACCCCCATAGACTTGCATTGAGTTCTAAGTTCGAGTTAGAACCGAACACGGGGGGGGGGGGGTCGGCTCATCACTAACTGTCAGCAGGAAATGAAGAAACAGAAGTAGAAGAGATCGCAGGGGATGAAACCTTGTAACAGTTTATTATAAAGTGATAGAAAGGTCGGCCGTTGTGCATGGAGGATGTACGTGATCCGTTGTGTCCATTCCTCGTCACACGCCGATATACAAATGGTGAAGATGAAAGTTATCGGCTTTCTAAAGATGTCATCGTCATCCGCACCACATGTGACGTCCTATACCATGTCGGGATGTTCAGAGACCGAGTTCCGCACTCGCCACATATACAGAAACTTTTCCAGCTCCAGGACCAGAGAAAGATTCCAGAGCTCAGTCCGCGTTCACACCAGACGCAGTGCGTTCCGTCCCGATTCTGCCCAGAACGCATTGCGGCCGGCTCACTATGTTGTGGGGCAGGAGGGGGGGCGTGGCTGTCCATTGAAGTGAATGGCACCGTAGCCACGCCCTCCAGCCACAATGCAATCTGGAACTGGAACACGAGGAACATTATGCCTGCGGTCCGGTCTGAACATAATAGTGCTTGCAGCATTTTGTTCGGACCGGACCGGACCACAGGCACATCTTCCCGTGCGGCCGATTGCATTGTGCCTGGAGGGCGTCATTCACTTCAATGGACAGCCACGCCTCCTCCTGCCCCACAACATAGTGAGCCGGCCGCACTGCGTCTGGCGTGAACGCGGACTTCGAGGCGGTTGTCATGTGTAAGGAGCACACGGGGCTCCCGGGATTTCTGCATCCCTGTTATAATTTAACATTTGTATATAAATATATTCGGGATGCACCGATACAGGGGCGTGCAGAGGCTGGGTGACAGCCGGAGCGGTTACCGGGTGTCACCTCGCCGAGACGACAGTGCGCATGCGCGTGACTGTCACCACGGCGATCTTCTGATACCTGCCGGCGGCCATCTTGGTGATGGACGCCGGCAGAGAGAGGAGGGGTCAGTCACCCGGCGGGGATAAGGTATGCCGCCGGGTCCCCTCCTCTCTCCTGATACTGTCGAGCGTTCGGTCCATGATCTAGCGCCCGACTTTTCAGAGGGGGGTGACACCAAAATGACTTCCAGTCATTTTGGTGTCACCCCTCCAATGGTGTCACCCGGGTGCGGGCCGCACCCCCCGCACCCCCCTTGTGACGCCACTGCACCGATACCACTTTTGCAAGTACGAGTACTGATACTGGTCCAAGAACTCGCAGATACGAGTACTGATACATTTTTGTTTATTGTCATGTGACAGTTTTTATAAAACAATACAGACCAATGATTCCAGGACAGTGGCGGGGCCCCAGGGCCCGGTCCCAGCTGCCACCCCGGTAGTTCTCATGAAAAGTATCGGCGCCGGTAACCAAACATCACTAATACAATGTATTGAATAAATGTTTCCATTGTGATCTGTGCGGCGTTATGTATATACATTATACATTATAAATACATAACAAAGGATGGAACTTCCTTGGCTTCAGCGCCGGGTCCCCCAGGGGCCCCATAATGGTGGCTCCTCCTACTCCTACCACCAATCATTTCATTACCTTAATAATCACCAAATTCTGTCACCTAGTTTTTTTTCCATAGGGGTCGTGTATCAGTATATTTGTTCTTGAGAACTTGGTGGTATTAATGATTAATGCAGAACTCAAAAAACCCAACACCCTCCCTGAGGCCAAACCTCCATCCAACCCTTAGGGGGGCGGGGCCATGACACCCATTTATTTATTCATAGTACAGCCTCAGTCTTCTGAGCTGATTGATGCTGGACGTTAGGGATGCACTGATGCCACTTTTTTAAGACCGAGTACCGATACTTTTGATCAAGTACTCGCAGATACCAATTACCGATACTTTTTCTTAAAGGGACAGGTCACATTTTTTTCTAAAGCAATACAAACTAATGCTTTAAGGTCACTTTCTTAATATTATGATTCATGAGATGACGAGGGAGCATGACGCCGGCTTCACTGCACGCTACCCGGCTTCCTGATTGGCCGGTAAGTTGGCTCCATGCTCTCTCATCACAAGTGACCAGAGAGCATGGAGCCGTTTCCTGGCCAATCAGGAAACCGGGCAGCATGTAATGACGCGCTGCCCGGCTTCCTGATACAGGAAGTACTCGTGCTTGGTATCGGAGCATTTGGGCGAGTACGAGTACTCACCCAAATACTCGGTATCGGCACCGATACTGATACCAGTATCGGTGCATCCCTACTGGACGTTATTCATCCCGGAAGACTGAGGACATCTTGTGGCAGAATACAAGTACTGCGGG